CAGATAGTTCAACAGACAGACACCATAACACTGAGCTCACAACTCCGGTGAGGCTTTACAAGCCCTAGGTTACGTCAAGAGGCTAACTTAGGCAGGGGTGAATGATGGTACATCCTTCCCACGGGAAGTAATCAATGCCGTCCTTCGGGCCTTCCTACCATAAAGGGGAGGAGCGTGTGTGAGTACCCTTTGTAATCATTTCTGACTTGCCGGTGGAATAGGAACCGGACTGATGCTCCCCAGAACCAGAACCGTTAGGTTCTGTTTTGTCAAAAAAAAAAGAAAGAAAAAAAAAGAAAAAAAGAAAAAAAAAAGAAAAAGAAGAAAAACATTGAGAATCATCAATCACAGCAAAACGGACTCAGATGCGGACGCGGTAACCTCAGCAAACAGATACAAAGACAGCAGCTTCCTCAGAAAAAAGTGAAAAATGTGGGTTTCTCAGACAACGACTGTGTGGGTCATTCATTGCCTGTGGAAATTTCACAATTCAGACCCTGCAAATGCAAATACAAACAGCATACAAAGTTACAAACAGAAACACAAACAAACCCAAAAAAAGTTACCTCTGGAATTCCGAATTCTTTATCTCTGGAGTTACTACAGGAATGAAAGGTAAGACTGTGGCCTACAAATTCCATGCTATTGCCTTCTGGCTCCTCTGGCTCGCACGATCTAAGCCCACTTCTCAGGCAGATATCAGGAATCAATTTCGAGAGTTAAAAATAAAAAACCGAAAAAAAAGAAAATTTAAAATAATAAAATTATTATTGTCATTTTTTAGTATTTTATACTATTTTTATGAAAAAAAAGAATGTTCGCCTGAAAACGTTTGCGAGCTGTTCGCGCGAACGCGCGAACGTGAAGGGGAGGGGGGCGAACACGTTCGCCGTGCTACGCAGGCTGCAACCTTAGCTGGGAACGTACTATGCAGATCGTGTTCCATACGTCCAATCAGCCTCTGCTGACGTCCATGTCCTCTACCATAATCTCGACGCCAACACCAGCATAATCTGCAGGCTTTACTTCACAGTATGTGAAGAATAGTAGCAAGCTAGGAACGAGGCCAACACCAGCATAATCTCAAGCTAGAGGACGCCAACAATTCTCCATGACATGATATGCTGCATAGCATCGGTAGATTAAAACATTACAAACAGGGGTTTAAAGGGGGTGAAAACATTCAATAAGTGGGCGATTAAGACTTGTTGTCCTTCATGTGTAGAAGAGGATCTTCTCCGATGTCATCTGCTCCATAGCTTGCTGGCAACAACCTTTCAGAGCCGAGGATGCTCAAGTCGAAAACCCACCATTGAGTTCATAGGAATTTAGTAATGATACTTCCTCACCGATCCGATTCTCCGTCTTGTCACCCCCTTC